ACGATCGGTACGGTCGGATCGCTAAACATCGATCGGCGAGACCGATGTTGGTTTTTCCTGGTAAACGAACGTTATTATCGTGATTAAGATTTTGATCGATCCGTACGCATGCGGTGTGTGCAATACGAAGTTCGTGTTTCAGAGTAAATTACTAAGCGAGTAGAAATGATCGGTTTCGGGTACTTGGGTCTTTCTCTTGCTGCAACTGTGCAAATACTTTTGGTAAAATTAGTATTCGCTTCTATCCCGGTATTTATCTATGTTCGACGATCACTATGATTATTATTGTCAGTGTATATTCTGCTATTCAGTACAGAACTATGGTTTCGGTGTTCGAGGAATTTTTACGTATATGAATTTCTGCAGCGGAAATGCAATTATTTATTTTCAAATTGAAGATTATCTTTGGAAATAATACAGAAATTTAATGTTTCATGGAACAGTTATTTCGAAATTGGTGATTATCCTCGGAAATAATATAGAAATTTAATGTTTAATGGAATTTCGTATTAACTCGTCGATTCGATGAACCTAGTTACAAATGCAAACTCATTTGAACCACCTCGTTCCACTAATTTATAGCAGTATCCAATATTTTCGTGGTACTGCTTTAGTTGAAACTTTGCAGGTTCGTAGATTTAGTCATTTAGTTCGAGAAAATGTACCATTGTAAGTACCATTGCAACTACTCGATGGTTTTTAAAATATTTATGATTAAAGATTTATTATTCTTAACTAGAAATTTCTTCCGAATAGTTATCGATAGTTATCAAACTTCTTTATTGTTATATTCGCCTAATAGAAAATCGGAAAATTGGCAGAAGGTTTCACGCCAACGCTTTGAAATCTGTAGACGCAAAGACTTGAATAATGACATCGCTTTCTTTGATTTCTGTCATTGTGGTACCTCCCTTAATGTTACATTCACCTAAATACAAATTTATACTAGAAATTATATTGCAAATACTAATTTTTCCTTACATTGATCTTATTAAGTATAATAATTTTAATTATTTGTTTTCATGAGTGAAAAATTAATACAAAATAAAAGTATATTGAAAAAGACACTGTTAATTACGAACGGGATCAAATACCGGGCCACCAGCGTGGGAATTTTCGGATATCGCCATAAGGCCACAACGGCACCTGATAAATATTCGAAATAAATCCGTAATTAAGGCAAATCCGTAATAAAACTCTAATCATAAATATCTCGAAAACTATCGAGTAGTTGCCCTTATAATAACATATTTTCTCGAACTATATAACTAAATCTACAAACCTATAAAGTTTCAACTAAATCTATGACCAGAAGGACTTGCACTCTCCTCGTTACTTGAATTATCGGTAGCTTAGTTGGGCACTTAAAATGAAAATTTTAATTGCCTAACACACTACAGGAACACCACAACGCTATCGCATACGAGCCAACTAGTAATCGACATTCAATACATAATTTAAAGGAAATAAAAGGATAGGAAAGTCCGATTGAAACCAGTAATTCTCGAGGAACCTGTACTCCGAGGTACCTGAATTTACATAGAATTCACTTAATACTGTCTTCCATTTTCCATAATGAATCACACGGCTCCTTATCAGCGGTTAGGGCAGACATGCTCGTTCATCAATAAACGACTGTTTGTTTAACCATATGAAAGTCCACAGTCACGATGCCAGGGGGGATGGAGGGAGAAGGAAGGAGGAATAATAAAGAAGCAGCAGGAAGAATTTCCTGATATCGATCGTCGGTTTTCCGTAAGACGAAGAGTTAGAGGCATGATTCGACGGGATGTCTGTCGAAATGCGAGTTTGCGCAATTCCTAGACTAGCCCTTCTTATTAAAGATAGCCGCGATACTAACGGTCGATTACGAAGCGCTGAGCTATTATCCTGTCTGTCGTAATCGGACATCCTTGTTAGTTCGACGGAAAAAGGAACTGCTGTGGCTAACGCGGCGAATTGCATCTTTAATAAACTGCATAGCCGCGTAACGTCGGTCAACTGTCAGGTAATCGTAATAGCCGGCCCTGGTGGGAAATATTTTCCTCGTTTATTTTCCCTCAGGTTCCTATGGATGCACGTTCCAGCGCTGTTTCGCAAGCCGCGATATTCAATTTTCCCTCCTTTTTACCGATTAACGCGATCGACGAACGAACCACGCGCATAAAGTCGTCGCTGACGTATTTAAAATACCATGGTTCAATGTCGGTCGTATTTTCGGGAAAAATTTATCGACTGCGCATCGAGACTTGGAAATGATCGGATCCGTTTAAAATTTAATCTGTTTTCATCCATAGACGAAATGTACGAAGTCGTGGTGGAACTTGAAACTATCGTTGTAAGCTGCATTTGGAAACATTTTATGTATCAAGTTTGTTGTAACAGATGTAAAAGCCGACATTAAAGTCGCAATGGTGAAGTAAAAGCGGTATTAAGACAGATAAAAATATGGAGATATGAAAGGGAAGATTTATGAATTTGTCAGACGTAGCACACAGTTGTACCTTCTTTTTGACATTCTTTCGCAAATAGGACATCTAACAGGTAATTCATCATCCAACGATTTTATCTCGCCGAGCTGTGTTTTATCTTTAATCTAAATTACATCTCCGTTAATGCTTTTTTAACACGTCTTTGTTTACTCCCTTCGCCATAACAGCAACTCGCTGTTCGGCCCATCTTTTACCATTTTATCTTCCTTCGTTTCTTTGTCCACCCTTTACACCTTGTTACATCGTTTCGTTTCACCCCCTACAACCGCAAACATATTATATTTATCTACGCGAGACATCGGGAATTTAATAAAAATTCCATACCAACGGTCACGTATTCGAACCAAAATATACAACTTTCACCCGAACCGGTATCGAAGCGATTACCAACGAAATAAATAAAATTCCTACGGAAGGTATGCACGCAACGCGGCCGTATTCCGCAGATAAACCGAAATGAGTTTTAATTAAATGAAAACATTCGGTTCCTTTGCGAGTCGCGATTTCATTTTCGACATAATAAAATCCCAGTCATTGGCGTTCCTCTTTCTACCCGATAGCCGGCCACTGTTCCGCGAGTCGATATCTCCTGCTATCGAGCCGCTGCTGCCACTGATAACAGCCCTTCGATCCACTCAACGTGAAAATGCGATGTCACGATAAAGTTACGTGGATTACCGGCTAAAGCGAGTGTTGCCTAACTACAACAAATGATACCGTATCACCAGTTTGTTGCTAGCTCGAGAATACACACAGGTTCACTGCCTCGTTTTCACCTATTGTTGAAGTTTTACGCGCAATCCTCGATTTTCCTATAGTTTTCGGTACCTTCCTGCAATTTCCCTTTTTCAATATTTTCTCTTCCATTTCTTTTTCCTTTTTTTCTATTTCCTTTTTTTCCCAGTTACCATGTCGCGCTGCAGGGTGTGATCAGAAATCAGCATGCTATTGTTCGATTATAGAGGTTCTAAATAATTTAACTCCACGCTGTAATTCGTAGTACAGGAGATCGTAGACTATGACGAGTGTGTCGGAAATATTCATACATGTAAAATAATTAGGCGTAATTCACGTTTATTAAATCTTTTATTGTTCGTCCTAAAGGATGAGAGATATTCGAATCCAGGAATAATGAGTAATTAAATGTATTGTATACAAATTATAATTATCGGTAGAACGAAGGGCAATAATTACATATAATTATGGATATCTTTCATTAATCAACGTTAATTGTGCCAAAATTGATTACATGCTTTCAGAAATCGGATGGAGAAGAAATTCCTTACTAAAAAATAGCAGTTTAATTGTTAAATAGAAAATATTACGAATTCCTATTTAGACAACGTAATTATAAAATTAATATGAGCGTAGGAAAAATTCCTGTACGAATAAACGAAGATTCTTTTCGTTTCAAAAAATCGAAATTATTTCAATAGATATATTTAAATAAGATTACTCGATGAAATTTTCAAACTTTCGCTTTCTACTGTCGCAAAAACATTTCCTTACCTCTAGCAGCAAGCCCACCACAAGGCCTCCCAAGACGAGTCGCGGAAATCCACAAGAAAAATGCAAACTCGACCAATCTCGAACCATCGTCGAATTTGCATAATCCCGGAATAATAAGTCGAATATTCGTCGGAAATTCAGCGGTTTCAGCCAATTACTGCGTACACTCGCATGCAGGCTAAGCAGGCAGATCGCTCGCGTCTTACGCCGCTCGTTCTCCTATCTCCTCGAATATATCTATGCAAGTTCCACGTATTTCAACGAGGTACGTGGCCGTGCACGCACACGTGGATGCAGCTACACCGGCGGTGCATCGTGGTGCACTCGTTACATGCGCCTAGAGAGGAACACGAGCGAGAAACGACAACCGAGAGATCGTTATCGCGCTAAACAGGAAAGCAAATTTCGCGCCAACCAGGCTCGTCGTTCCCGGAAGCTTCTCTCTTTTTCACTTTTTTTCAAAAATTATCCGTCTCCCAAGTCCACTTTATCATGGTGCAAACGATTCGTAACGTTGTCCATGTTAGAGTCTCTGAGGTTAGAAAAAGACGGTACGTCGGATATTTGAATTTCGCGCCACTGATTGATCGGGTAGACTGTTTTATCGGTTTTCGATGTTAGGTTAGGTCTGCGATAGGTTAATTTTGGTATCGTCCGATGGTCTACGATCGATCGAGATTTCTGACTGGTTACCGGTAAAAAAGAGAACTGTACGTGTGTCGCGTTGTTTACGATTGCTGATGCATTGATACGGATTGTAGGTACAAAAGGAAAGAAATATTTTATCGTTTATGGGATACGTGGCTTTCTGAAATAAATTCCGAGATATTTTTAACAGGAAATATTAAAAACCTTTTTCAATACGTTGGTATCTGTAGCAACGCGAATGGCTGTGTATCTATTATCAAAATAGTTACAAACACGGGTGAAATATTGAAATTTTTTCCGAAATTTTCAATATTCGAATTTTTGTTCACTCTTTCGTGCTTTCTGTTGCAGGTTACCTCCTTGCTTTTGGAAGGTGAACGCAGAAAACTAGCGGTTCTTCAGAGGGAATTGCAAGTCGCCCTGGAAGAAGGGGGAAGTGTGAAAGTGAAAGAAAAACAGCGACAGGAACTACTGCACGCAATATCGTAAGTAGAATCGGCACGTACTTCATCAGACGAACGTTAACTCTGAAATCACACGCACTCCCGTTTTTCTATCGACGGCATATTTTTTCCCGTGAAAGATTTATGACCGTAATACATTGCCTTTACAGCTTCTAATAAAACATTTTTATGTCGAACACGCGAACCTTGTTTTTAAATGTTTCAGAACAAATTGAATCACGAGCATGACGTGACCACCTCTATTATTTTCCCCGTTAGCCAACTGATCGATACGTATTTTACTACAGATTATACAAATTTTGGGAAACGTTCGGGATAGCAATATTGGTCTTCAAATATTAGTTCCTCTCTTTTCTCATAAATAATATTCAACGTTTTCGAAAGTCAAGAAAAATATTCTTTAATCCAAATATGTACCTCAACTAAGTTAATCAAACTGTGAGAGTATCTAAAATCACCGAGAGTAAAGTTAAAATTTTTGAAACAAATTTTCCTAACAAGTTCGCAAGTTGTTTTAACAAAATACGACGCATTAAGCGCTAGAACATACGTATTTATGCGCTCATCGCACGCTTCGTTAAAAAATAAAATCGTTTAAGCATTTTGTGACGCACTTGATACATCGCATTATCGTTATGACATTAAAAGTACTCAAAATTTTACAGATGTGGCCGTACGTTTAATTCAAACGTTGCAGTTAATTCCGGCACCGCCGGTGGCCCAGTGGTGCCACTGCAAGTCTAATGGCGGCCACCGGTGATCCCCACGGCCGCCATCGCGTTAACAATCCCTCATATTCTACCATACACCATTAAACCCCTCCAACTAAACGTTTCTCCCTTAATTTACATTTCGACTCCTTATACGAAATTAATTGCAAAATTACGAATAATAGAAAGAAAAAAAGGAAGAAAATAAAAGAAGAGTAACGAAAAATTCTTAACAAATATGAAAGAAATCGTAGTATCGTAAGCTTAAGGGTTCTAAGCGGAAGCGAGTCATAAAAGAGGAAAGCACTAAAAGCGACAGGACGAATAGTCCACCGATAGGTCTGCAATATTTTCGATGAAAATTCGACGAAGGGGTAAGAGGAGTTTTAAGAGAAAAATTTTAGAAAGCGAGGGACGATTCTCTTTCACGAAGTTTCCGTGGAGAGGTTAGAAGAAATCGTTAGGAAAGTTGTTTGCAGTTGTTTGTCTCGTTATATATACACATATATACTGTCCAACCCTCTTTCTTCCTAATAATCACATTTTAATAATAAATATAGTTACTACTAGCGCATTCGAGGTTTGACAAAAAGATCAGCTAAAGCATATGGCGTGACATCGCGAAAATAATCGCGACGAAAGCCTTTCCTGGTCACGTCCTGACCGAAACTGGCAAACTTGCCCTGGAAGCTATCGAAATGGCCGCGACGGAACGAAAAACTCGACAGAGGAAACATCCATTTTCCCGAGCGGTAGCTTTCGAATAATATATTTTGCAAGTTGGCACCGGACCCTCGTAACACCAGCTCCGCAGCCCAACGTCCCACTAGCCCCTTCCCGCCAAATGGGAGGCAGGATTAACTCGTTCAAGATTTATTAGTGCCTGTCCTCCGGCGGACTAACAATTTGATCAAACTACCGTGGAATTATGCAGTTTCGTGTAGCTTCCGGCGCGAGTCGTCCCGAAGTCGATGCCGAAACTACGAACTTGCAGCGCGTCTCGTCGCGCGTAAAGTACGCCGCGATTAATGAATTTCCCGTCTGCGATTACGCTTGGCTAATTTTCCGTCTCCGCACCGTCCTCGCGTTAGATTTCGTTTTGACAAATCTCGCGAGTTGGCCGGATATCGGGGCTAGGGTATCTGCTTTTCGATCGTGAGTTTGCTAGTCCACGCGACGCCAGAGGAATTTTCGACGACCACGAAAAGGGGCGATTAAACGTGACAAATCTGGGTACCCTATCGGGAATAATTGTAGAAATTTTAATGGGCGATATTTATCTCTGGTATTACAGAAAAGCGGGATTATGAGATATGGATTACGACTGTAGAAATTTTGATGGTTAGATATGTCTAGTTTGATGGAAAAATGGGGTTGTAAGACTATTTTATACGTGGATGTAAATAATTCTTGGATATGTTATCTGATATAAATATGGTACTGGAGAGTACAAAATGGACCATATTTTTTAAAAAATTGTAAAATAATATTTATATATGTAAGAAAACCGCCGACAGTGGGGCCCAAGCGTTCGCCGACAAACGGATAGCGGCGGCTTTGTGCCCGCGATAGCTCTCGATCGTTAAGAGATGATCGAGAGCGAGTAGGATCTACAGAAAAAGACCGCACGCGTATATCGAGTTAAATTCGTTGAAGACTGTCGACCAAATAATATTGATGAGTGAAGAATAAATTTTTACTTAATTTAATTTTTATTAATTTAATTTGTACTTAATTCTCAAACTGTGAAATATATTCTATTTCCAACATATGCAATGGACCGATAAATATTTAATAATAAAATGGTAAATGAAAAATAAATAGTAAATAAAATAGTCAAATAAAGAGTGAATTTGCAAAAAACAATTTTCGAGTTATTTCTGTTTGTACAATTTCATACACGATTTTACGATACGGGACTTTGTAGCTAACTACGTATTTGTTTGATTGAATTCGCAGAATTTACTGTAGTCCAAATTTTGCACAATTCCGTTCCCTCAACGCATCATCGAAAATGGAACTGGATAAATAGTTTAGTATCTAGAAACTTCCCGGACGCGACTTGTTATTTATTAAGCGCTCTATATAGCTTCTAATTTCAGTTTTTGTTCGAAACAAACTCCAGCGACTTTGGTATCTCGTTAGGTAGCAGAATTACAAAAAAGTGAGTTCATTTCTGAAACGATGTCCATGCATTATCGTGCACCTACAGTGTGTACGAAAATTTGACAAAATTCGTGCTCTCGTTGTTTGGAAATTGTTTTGATAAATTTAGAAATAACGATGGAGCAAGAAGGAATTTAATTAAAAAGTCCCTTGCAGTTTTATTCTGGATGTTCTAAAATTTATAACGGGTTATGATGTAACGCACTCTCGGTAAAATGGTGAAAAATATTCTTCTCCGAGAACTGCTCTCAGTGTTGAAAGTGTAACAAGCATACAGATTGTGAAAAATTCAAATTCAGCTACATTCTTTTTATCCCTGGTACACGATGTATACACGGTAAACACGCGAGAATTTTGAGAAAAAGGTATGTACCTTCGAAATTACTATTTCTCTTTATCAAGCATTAAATAGAATACGAAACAAATTCGTAACATATTGTCAACAAATGTTCTAAATATTAAATTTAATACTGCAAACTAAAATTCATTATTATAATTCCAGGGACATCCAAACCGATACCTAAACGTTCAAATCGCGATATATTCTCCGCCAATCCGTTCCAATCGATATTTCGCTTAAACACTTTTCTACGACCACATTTCCCCATTAACCAACCTCTCTCCCGCTCAATGCAATCATTATTCCAAGCAAATCCAGTTCGCTGTCCTGTTCGATAAATCCACTCGCCCAGGATCACGTTAACAGGTGCATACGCGGATTTCTGAAATCCCCGAAATTAGGACCGACGTCTACCTTCCCGGAGACTCTTCCGGCGTCCCTGGCGTCTCGCGGCGACACCTCGAGGAGAAAATCCTCGAGTCAGCGATATGTAAAGCTGCGCATTTTCTCTCCCCCCCCCCTCTCTCTTTCTCTTCTTTTTTTCTTTTTTTTCCTTCTTATATCCCGTCTGGTGTACGCTGTTTGCACAGCTTCTCGCGGCGTTTCGGCGCTGTTTGCGGACGCCGGAGGCGCGCCTCGTCGATTATACGCCGACGACGAATTTACGGGGATCGCGGCACCGCGGAGTTCCGCCGTTTCCGCGACGTCCAATTACGCGTTCCGAGCCGAAAGCGACTCGACCAGCTCCGCGTTTCACGGCGAACACGTGCAAGAAACAACGGAATAATTGACGATCCCCCTCGTGGATAGGGAGCTGAGAAATTGAATGGGGGATACGAGACGCCAACACCGAGGGGAACCAATGGCGGAACGAGCACGATGTTCGATTCCTGCGACTTTTCGTTCCTCCACGACGGGAGTAAAAGCGTGATACGATGATAAAATCCCGGGAAAGTCGTGTGGTATCTGGTGTGTTTGATGTTATGGGGAATTTAAAAATTTTATTGGAAAAGGCTTGGACGTGATTGCTTTACTTAGGGCGATTTAAGCCGGCTTTTCTCCTCGGTTCTTCGGTTCCCTGGCTCTGTTGTCGGGATTGATTTCCTTGAGTTACGATTGTATCGTGTATTCAGAGGGAAATTGGTTTATATTTTGCTCCACGTATTTCTCAGATTGCTTATTTATTTCCCTTTTCTTTCGCAAATGGATTTTCTTTTTTTTGAGAAGATACGTTGGAAAGGAGAGATAGCCTGTGATTTTAATTAGGCTTGTTATAGTTCGTTTTTACTCTATGGCTGTGTTAACTCTTGTTTAATCCGCGGGTTCATTCTTCAAAGTGTCGGTGTACCTTCAAAGACCGAATTTACGCCACCTGTTAATTAGCCAGTAGAGGCTGAAGTTATCCTCTTTCGTGAAAGCCCCTAGTTATATGTGCTTATCATGAAATCCCTTTTTGCCGGATTATTATCGAGCTTGAGATCATACTGAAGGAACCATGTCAACCTGCGCGAAGTCTCCTTTTGTGTAAACTTTTTGTTGGAAATTTGGGATGCAATGGACAATTTCCAATGTACCCTTGAAGTGTCGTATACGTTAAATAGGCAAATCCTAACTAAAGTTTCGATAAAAATTAGTTATAATTACGTATTACCGAAATATGATTTTTCTGTTCATCTTCGGTAATGTATTCTTTAAATTCATACTTTGCATCGAGAGTAATGTATTTACACTGCATTCTATATGTATAATTAAAATAAATTTATGATAATATACAGTTCAGTGGAAAAAATTCGTTATTATCATTA